GGAAACCCTACGGTTCCCTCAGATGGAAGTGTAGATTTTAATTATCTCTGCATGACAGACGTGAAATGAGAGCACAGCTCTTGCCATACGTTGCACCACTGACTCCAGTGCCCACGGAGAGTGAGAAAACTGCAGCTCACATTTTAAACCTCCCAGGGGATCAGGCAGCTTGGCATTTGCAGGATGTCTCTCTCCATGATGCCTACACAACTGTAAGCAGGCAGGCTCGCAGTGTGGGAAGCAATGTGTAAGGCAGATGGAAAGCATTAACCCCCCCTTGTTTATTGGTGTGTCATGCACGGGGATTAGGACGACAATGAGGCAGATTTGCATTGCAGCAGAGCACAGGCATATTTGCGTGCACTAAATATATTTCTCTACACAAGATTTTCTGACTCTTTGGGTGTCCCAATTCTCCTGTGAATTTAGCTGTCCTTTGAGTGTAAAGACTAGATTAAGCTGGGACTAAGGGCTTGAGCTGCAGTGGCATGTGTTGTGAGGCTTTCAAGGATCGCTTCTTTTTCATACCATTTGCTCGTGCATTGGCAGCTAAATGCTCCAAAACCACGAGCTTTGTCCCAGGTAAGCACCATTACTTGCTAAAAGTAGAGGATGGGAATCGAGAGAAAGGTTAAAAAGCCTCTTCAGAGTCCCTGACCCCTCCAGTTAACTATGGTGCCAGCAGCCTTGTAATGAAATTCAAGCTCTGCTGTAGTGCTGAGCTCAGGATTAACTGTGATTCCTGATGAGTGGGACACTTCATATAAGTCTGGTGTATTTATTGCAAGGCTTTGTCTTTCATAGCTGCAAAGCAATTATCTGGTATTTACAGCCTGCTCATAGCTGGGTGCAGTACTTGAGTAGTTATTACACAGCTTCGTGCTGGAGCCAGCCACTAAGCACTGAAATTTGCTTTTACCCTTTGCTGGAGCCATGGGCTCTAGCAAAGGAAACCTTTGCTGCTGATGGGGACTTCTGAGCAGTTCTTAAACATCTTTTGAACTTGGGTTTTCTTTTTAAACAAGAGTTGGAAGTGGGATTTTTAACTACTGCTCCTCAATAATGGATTACTTTTGGCCTGCTCCTGCTCCCTGAGGGTACTGGGTCATTGCTGGGGATCTGAACACAAGCAGAAAAGGCTGGGGAGCTGGTGACAGAGAGATCAGAGCTCCCAGGCCCTGCTGCCTGCAGGTTACCCTTGCTATTGCACAAGGGTGTTTATGTAAAGGTGATGCCTGGGACTGTTTCCATCTCCAGGCTGGCACTGTGCTCACTTGAAATTTAAATCAGCCTTGGTTTGGCAGGTGAGGATGAAATAGGCTGGGCAAAAGTGCTGCCAGGAGGCTGCCAGGGGATCATGGCCTGGCACAGGTGACACCTCTGACCGCCCAGTGACCTTGAAACCGAGCTGCTGCCAGGGCGGGGTGGCAGCGGGGTGACAGGGGGGTGGCCATGGAACATTGGGCAGGTGGGAAGTCAGTGAGACAGCAGGGAAGCTCTGACAGGAGCAGGAGGCAAGTGAGGACCTTGCTTTACTCATGGCTCAGCAAATGTGCAAGATCCCAGCCACACTTCCACCCTGTTCAGAGAGGTACCTGTGTTTTCTAACTTCTCCTTGTAGCACAGTTGAAAAGGGTCAAAAGTGAAACTGAGACTGTTTTCTTCTGTTCCCTGAATTACATCAACTACATCCAGAAAGGCAAGTCATGAGCTTGCTTGTGATTTTTCATACGAACTTGGATGGATTAGGAGGCTGGGGTCATGACAAAGTTACTGCTGGAAAATTAAAGAAGGGAAACTCAGTGCTTGCTGCTTTGGCTTCCAGTTAACTGTTCAGTCTATTAGAAGCAGATATTGAAGGTGAAGGAGATTCCAGTGCCCAAAAGTCCCCCAGCACTAATTACATGCAACTCGCTCATTTACATCTGTAAATGTTGTAACAAATAGACCAGTAATTGGTAGAGCAGTAATCTCTTTTTAAAATGCTTTTTAAAAAGCAGGATCCTTCTGGAGCAGCCAGACTGAGCAGGAGAGAAGCAGGACAGCTTGGGAAGAGAAGTGGGTGCTTGCACTTGGGAAGCTCTTTTAGCTGGGACTCATTGCCTTTACATCAGTCATTTACAAGTATCAATAGAGGGTGTAAAACAAACAGACAGACAACAAACTCTGCAAAATAGGTTTATTTTAAAATTTGAACCAAATAGAGTTTGTATTTATTGCATTAATCACATGCAGGTGAATACTATAAAAATACCTGTGCAGCATTTATATATAATTTATAAAATCTTCATAGCATAAAATAGCTGTGAATCAGAACAGAAATTTTACACATAAAGCTGCATGAATGTCCCTGTCAAACTGTGCCTTTCTTGGGAGTAATTCCAATCCCCAGCTTAAATGCTCATCTTGCTGTCAAGTTTTTCCCAGTTTTGTGATGTGGCTCCTCTGCAGGGCTCCAGTTGTGTACTGCACCTGTGTGTCATGCAGCTGTCTTAACACAAGGTGCTTAAAGGTATTTTAAACCTGATGGCAGAATTTCTGTGGTGTATGGGAGGGAGAGAGGCTGAGGATGGAACCCCATGGCTGTGGTGGCCCATGTCCAGCACTCACTCAGGGGAAGGTGTGAGTGGCCATGTGCCCTGCTGAAAGGCTCACTGGAGCTGTTTGCATGCACGTGTAAAGTCCACACAACCTGAGAAAATCTAAAAATGGTTACAATTTCTGCCTGCATTTCTTCTGGAGAATGGCAACCTGGGTTTAGAGTGGTGCAGCTCTTCCACCTCGCACTCCTCAGACAACTCCCAGCTATTCCAGTTTTGGAATTGATTGTTTATCCAGGCAGTCAGTGGATGGCAAAGCACCCCCTTTACATTCTTCAGGTTCATTTTTCTTGCAGCCAGGAAGACAAGTGGGCATGGTTAGAAAGCTGGCTCTCACTGTACATTCTGCCAGGCAAGGCACAGGGGCCATGCTTGAAGCTCTGCAGCAATAGCACTGTACATTTTCCTAGCCAAGCAGACCATGTTCACTGCTGTATTTCTCAACAGCTCATTGGTCCAACAGCTGAAATATATTGTTTTAAATAAGCAGCCTGAGTTCTAGGGATGCCCTTCCTATGGACACACCTCCCTGCTATTCTACAAGTGTACACAAAGTGTTGCAGGATGCATGGAAGACCAACTGTGATGCTGTGCAGCAGCAGAAAATTATGGCATCTTATAATTGTCACACACTGTAGTCACCAGAGTCACTGCTCAGCTCCTTCCACAGCACAGTTTATGGACTCTACTTGTCACCCCTGCATGACAGGAAGGACTTTTTCCTTTTCCCTAGCCAGGGGAACTAAATTGGAGTTAAACAGCTTGAACTCAAGCCTCAGTGCTGTGCTAATAACTCTGCTCAGTTGTTTGTAGGCAAAGGATCTTTTAGTGGAGGCTTTCTTATTAATATCCAAGGAAATTTGTTGCAAATCACATTAAACATTCTGTGCTAGCTTTTCCTTCTCTTTTATGTTTTGGGTTTGGTTTCTTTTATTTTAGATTGTAATAATGAGCAAAACCATCCACACAAAACTAGCCTGGTCTGGCAGTGCCATCAGAGGACATCATGAGCTGTGCCTAATGATGGCATTTTGATTTTGCTGGTCACATCTCTCCCCACCCCACCAGCCACTTTTTCTCTGATGCCCCAAACCTGAGCCCTGCCTTGGCTTACTCTACTGCTTCAGGAGCAGCCCCACAGCCAGGCAGGCAGAGGCACAGCCCTGCTCTCCAGCAACCCCAACCCCACAGCAAAACAGCCTTTGCTACTGCTCTGGCAGGGATTTTGGCTGTGTGCTTATCACATTTAGTTGCCTGTGCAAAGGGTGTCTAATTATGGGACACAGTGGGGCCAGTGATTTCTAACCCAAAGTTATCTGTGCACAGCAATTCCCATAAGTCAGATTTTTTAGGCCAGTTGCTTTGTGTTTGTGTGGCAAGGGCATGGTCATGGTGGGGAGGTGGCTATAAGGGTGACTTCTCTCAGAAGGTGCCAGAAGCTTCCCCTGTGTCCAGCAGAACCAATGCCAGCTGGCTTCCAGACAGATCCACTGCTGGCCAAGGCTGAGCCCATCAGGAACAGTAGCAGCACCTCTGGGACAACAGAGTTAAGGGAGGAAAAACCTGCACAAGTGCAGGCAGACAGAGGAGTGAAGATATGGGAGAGAAACAACTCTGCAGACACCAAGATCACAGAAGGAAGAGGTGCTCTGGGTGCCAGAGCAGAGACTCCCCTGCAGCCTGTGGTGCAATCAGTGGAGGACCCCACACTGAAGCAGGGTGATGCCCTAAGACAGGTTTAAAGACCACCACTGAAACAGGCTCCTGGCAGGACTTGTGATCCCTCAGGGGACCCATGCTGGATGAAGTGCTGCCCATGGAAAAATTCACATTGGAGATGTTTTTGGAGAGCTGTATTCTGTGGGAAGGTGCCCATGCTGGAGCAGTGGAGGAGTGTGAGGGGTTCTACCCCTGAAGAGGAAGGAGCAGCAGCAGCAACATGTGATGAATTCACTGTAACCTCCATTCCCATCCCCCTGTGATGGTGGGTAGGAGGAGCTAGAGACTACAGAAAGGAAATTGAGCCTAGGAAGAAGGGAGGGGTAGGTGAAAGGTGGTTGCAAATGTTTGGTTTTATTTCTTATTATCCTGCTCTGATTAGTTTGGTAATAAATTAAACTTACTTCCCCAAGTCGAGTCTGTTTTGCCTGTGACAGTAAAACTGCTGAGTGATCTCTCCCTGCTCTTGTCTTGAGCCATGATCCTCTCGTTATATTTTCTTTCCCTGGAGAGACAGGAGTGACAGAGCAGCTTTGGTGAGCCCCTGGCACGCAGCCAGAGCCAAGCCCACCACACCAGTGCAGAAAGGCACAAAAACACTTTTTGGTCGAGTCAGCAGCCTGGAGTGTCCTGTCCCCACAGCGGGGGTGCTGCAGGCAGCTCTGTGAGGAGCAGCTGAGCTCACATCAGCCCCAGCAGCTGGTGCAGCAGCGGCACGAGCACGGTGGCTGTGAGACCAACACAGGAGTACGTCACAAACTTGTAGGGCACCTCGACCTCCAGGCGTCTCCGGGCTTGCAGGTCACCCATGGGGAACTGGTAGCGATAGCCCAGCACGCCAAGGACCACGCTCTTCGTCAGCCAGCGGGTCAGCAGCACAACCAAGATCCCTGTGAAGAACCTGGCCAGCACAAACACCATCGTACTGCTGGTCAGAGGAAGCCCAGGCTGAACACTTGTGCCAGTGGGGGCTGAAGCAGAGTACTGGTTGTTTAACCAAAATCCCACAGTTGCTCCAGCTGCTGCTCCTAAGATCGTAGTGGTGTCTCCCCTGGTAGGGCTGTAATAGTCTAATTTGGGGTAGTTGTAACATAAGACAAGAGGCACAACTATGGAGAACAATGGGCAGAAGGGGCTGGTCAACAGCAAGTGATCTATTGTGTCCCACGCAGGATACAAGAGCACGAGCAGCACGGCCGAAATCAGTGCTCCTCCAATCACATCCTGTAAAGAAATCACATTTAAAAGGCTTTGTGAGACCTGGAAAGCAAACCAGGTGTTTGGGTGATGATAAAAGACCAGTATCTGCATTGGTGGGGCCCAGCAGTGGAGGAACACCCAGAATCCAGCGATGGCATTATCCACGTGCAGGGAAAACCTGAAGCACAGGCTAAACAAAACATGACAATCCACAAACCCAACCTCAGCTTATGCATATGCATGTGTCTGTGGACACACATCCTCCTCCTCACCTGCTCCCATGTTTTGAGGGCACTCTCCACCTACGACCTGGGAAAAGGCACGTGCACAACTCTATCTTGGGGACAACATTGCAGAGAGCTGCCTTCACAGAAACCCTCTCCCTCCTGTAACCCTGCAATCCGTTTCATCACATCAGTGTGATTATCCCTTGCTTGCTTTGCATGAAGGGGGAGATGCTGTCCTTTGTCAGAGACAGGCTCCCATCCCAGAAACACAAGCTCCAGGGATGGAAAGTGCAGAGCTGTGGGACGTGGTGCGTGTGCCATGGTTTCCGCCAGCAGTGGGAGGGAGGCACCTCCAGGCAGGGATACAGCAAGGAGAAATTTGTTGCCCAAGTCTCTGAAATCTGACTTTCAGTACACTGCCTGAAGCAAGCATATAATTAAACCCTAATTTATTAACAGAGGCAAATAAGGTGTTTTGAGAACTTGACTGTTGTCAGCCACAAAGCTGAGACAGGAGGTAGCCCCTAACAAAAGCCCTCTGTATGGGAGCAGCCAGGTAAAAAGCAATAAAACAAGTTTCCCTGTGCCACCCTTCCAGTGTCACGTAGAGGCAGCAGTGTTAGTACAGCCACAAAAAGCTGTGCAAAAGCTGAAGTTAGCCACAGACAAAAGTGTCCTCTTCTAAGATTGTATCTTCCTCATGAGTCATGACAGCTGACTACTACCATGCTTGGTCACAGTCTAAAAATTATTTATGGGAGCTTCACTTTGAGTTAGGCAGGAATGAGGGAACTTCTTCACAACAGAAATATTTAATGACATTCTGGTAAGTGCATTACTCCTGTAGGGCTGAACTTCAGCTGTTTACAACTTCCATTAGATTCACAGCACATTTGGTTTTAAACAATTCCTATAGCCATTTTGCATATCCCTAATACAAATTTCCATTTATTCCCTCATCCAAAACATGAGGCTAGCCATGGAAATACACAAACTTGATCACAGATATCTAGTATGTAAAATACCATTATATTATGTACCTTTACTTCACAGTAATTCATGTTTTGATGTAAATTCTTAGATGATACCTTTACATACAAAGCTTATTTTGGCCCAACACCAAGTAACTGCCTCAATACAAAAGAGCTGGGGGCTGGTCCCAGCACTGATGTTCAGAAATCCCACACCCACTCTGTACATCAATTTCCCACACAGATGTTTGTCCAACTCATGTTAAAAGAAAAAGTCCTCACTACCACTCTATGGATGATCAAGGAGCAAAACTCAAAAGCTGTTCACATGCTTTTCTGTTCCAATTAAAGAAGTGTAACCAAACATTAACATTTCCTCACAAGAGCTTTGCTCAGATTTACCCAGCTGGCTCCAGCAGTTCCCAACCCAGTTGCAAACAGTCCCTATGTAGAAACCTGATTAAAGTTTTGTGAATTTTGTTATCCTCCCATTCAGCCCCAGTACAGTAATGTGGCTCTTGGAAGTTTCAAGCAGGACCCAGACAATCAGCTCTGACCAGTGGCATTGTACCCATGGTCTCCAAACTGGGTGCACAAAGCAACCCATGGGCTGGGGGGAGAACATACTTTTTGCACTGCTCATAAGTAAAATAAAACATGCATTTTTAAGAAGTAATGCTTATTTCATCATTATATTTGTTAATTTTGTGTGTTTTATAATGCACATATCAGTACAGTAGTACCTGTATACAATTTGTAAGTAAATAGATACATCTATATAAACATATATATATGTATCAGTGCAGTAGTACCTGTATACAATTTGTAAGTAAATAGATACATCTATATAAACATATATATATATGTATCAGTACAGTAGTACCTGTATACAATTTGTAAGTAAATAGATACATCTATATAAACATATATATATATGTATCAGTACAGTAGTACATGTATACATATACATATACATATATATATATATATATAGGAGGCCAGTGGTTTATTCTGTTTTCCCCCCATCCACCAATATCTGGGCTTCTCATTTTGGAAACTCCTCCCCAGAAGCTGCTGGAGAGCTCAGGACACGCCTGGCTAGCTGTGGTGGTCCCTTCAGTCCCGGTGTGCATGGGCAAATTTGATTTTTTGAACACCCAGAGGAGGTGGGCAAGATCCAGACCAACAGCGACATTTAGCAATGCCGAATTAATGATGTCTCCCCTTGCCTGTTCAATTAAGGACAAGGAAGGCTCCGATTTCTGCGAGAACTTGGCAGACCCTCCCTGCTGTGCCCCCCGGAGCAGGAGCTGAGTTTTCCCCGGGGGTGGAGCTGCTGTTAGCACGCCCAGGAAGCACATTCCTGCCCGTCTGCCTGTGTAAACAGATTAGCCTCTCGCCAAGCCCGCAATTATAAAGGAATTTTTAAATAAGGGCAGGCACGGATTTTGCTCAAGGTGCAGAACTACCTGCAGAATTTAAAACCTCCGGTTGCTGGGAGGTTCATCCATCCTGCTGGGATGCTCCAGCTGCCTCGGCACAGACGAGTCATCCCCAGGCTCCATTTGCCTCCCCTGAAGCCCCTCCACTGGCATGCAGCTCAGCCCTGCTCCCACCCAGCACCAAACATCTGCCCTGCTTCCCTGCTATTGCCAATCCGAGCAGAAAGAACAATTTTCCTGTTCTGTCTGGTACACAGGCACTGCCTGCCTGCATCCCCTTACATTCATTTACTGTGAGACACCACTCACACTCCTGAACTCCACTCCTAAGGACTGTGCTACACAGTGGGTGAAGTACTGGGACTATGCTGGGTGTTTATCAGCTCTAAAGTATTTAAAATAAATTCAGGATTAATGGTAGTATGAAAAAATCTGAAATACAGCCCAGCAAAGGGGCAAGGGGGGAGCTTCAGAACACACACCCCCACTCCCCTTGTGACCATAAAAAGTGACCTTGCACAGGACATTGTTGCTTGTAGCTCAGGGCAGTTGCAGTGCCAGCGAGGTTCTCCCATCAGCTGTGGCTCTGGAGGGAATGGCTCATATCATCTCCAATTGCTTCTTGTTTGTCAAAAATAACCTCTAAAACCTTACAGATTCACCGTTTCAAAGTGTGTCCAAATTGTTACATTTTTTTTAACTTTGCCTTTTCCAGATAGCTCCAGATCCCCTCTTTAGCAGGTCCTCAGACTACTCCATCATTTGAAACCTACAAAAAAAAGAACCCTGCATTTCCCCTGCTTTTCCACACACATGGACACTCTGATGTTGAGGTGGTGGACGTGGATGGTTGTAACTAAATTGCTTGTCAGCAGTATGAGTGTATTGCTGCCACCCCATTCTCTGGCTGGGTGATGCTGTCCTGGTAACAGCCCAGGCCATGGGTGTTTGTTCCCTTTTTCCTGGGCATGGTATTCATTCTGGCACAGCTGGAAGGATGCAGATAGCTCCCATACCAGCTGACTGCCTCTACAGGAGGTCTTTAATGGTAATATCTCTTCTAATGACATCACTGTGCTTTCTGATACACTCCTCATTCAAAAGCAAGGCCAGCCATGCTAGAATACAAACAGATTTGTTGAGCTGAGACTACAGAAGATGAGATTCTGCACTGGAGAAAAACAATGCAAGTGCCTTTGTCACTCCTCCTCTGGTTCCTCCAACAAGAAAAATTCAGTTACACCAAGTTCATTGATATTTGTTACCCATTCTTTTGCTTTACTAAAATGCTATGGCCACTTAATATATTATTCCATCCTTTCTGTTAAGGCCTCAGTTAAAAACCCAGAGGCTCTTTCAGCTGATGTCTTGGCACTGCTGTGCCTCAGCCTCCTGGTGGGCAGGAGCTGTCCCACCAAGGGACACAAACAGCTCTGAACTACACTTTTTCCCCAAAGAGCCATCACTGCAGGTGGCACAGCAGAGCCAGTCCCTGTGGTGACAAGCTGCTGCAGAGAGGGGCTCTATGTGATCACTGGGCCTTTCCCACCTCCATCCCCGCCATGGCACACACAGGATGAAGGCCCCAGCCAAGGACATTTGCCCTTTTGGAAGGCAGCATTGCCCATACTTCAGCTAAGAAGCTTTTTTTTAAATTTTATTTTACAGCCCTTTTCCATCATGTCAAAAACACAAAGGACTTTTTCTTCTTTACCCTAAAATCCATCTAAATTTAGAGGGGTCTTTCATTATGATGGGCCAGCAAGAGAAGTATGCAAAGAATTTTTACTGATTGACTTAAGGTCAGTAGCCCAGAAAGGGTGTCTGCAGCCTCCATGTAAGATATTGTTTTGATCCACTGAGCCTGAAAGGCAAGGTCAAGCTATATTTTATAGCTAACCTTAATCTCATGAGGGCTCCCTTTCTTACAGCCATCAAGTCGCATTACAAACACATAATTATTACTTAGTAAAAAAGATTCAATTATTTATGCATATGCAACCCACAACATATCAAACTCCTGTGAGGAAATAGTCCGAAGTTTTTATCCATATTTGGGAAGCTGGACTGCCCCTCTGTCCACTGTATAGAACAGATCAATAAAGTTTCATCTTGTCAGGAATGAACCAGCTATCACAAGCACACTGAAATCAGCTCCTCCTAAAGCAGCACTGATGTCTCTAAGCAACTATGCCCAGCAAGTCTGTCATATAAAATCACAACTATTTTATAATTATTTTCAGCCAAACTATTTGTGCATCTCAATCCCTTGGGAAGCATTTCCTTCCAGCTGAAAAGAAGAAACCTGTCATTTTTGAGTGCCTGCCCGCTGACAGGAGCCCTGCTGCGGGCCGGCCTTCAGGGCAGGTCGCTGGCCACGCTTGAGCCCGTGACTCACCGGGCTGCAATCCCTGCGGCACTCCCAGGCTGAGCCAGCCCCGGCCACTGCTCGCTGAAAACAGCGATACTATTGCACAAAGGCCTTTGCTAAGGAGCAGCTCGGTTGCCCAAGCGCATTCCTCGCAATTAAACTTTAGAAATGGAGAGCTCCATTGAGGTGCCGGGCTGGGCTCACCCGGCTCGGCCCAGGCCCGGGCGCTGCGGCCTCCCCACGCTGTAATCACCCCGTGAGGACTCCAATTGCGATAGCCCGAGGGATTCCCCGCAGCTCCCTCAGTGCACAGCCCCAAACCCAGCGGCACAACTCGTCTGTCCCTGTGCTGGCATGGCCACCAGCCTGGTGGTGCTGTAGGGGAGCAGAGCTGGAGGCACATCCTTACCAGGACTGTGTGCATCCCTGTGTAGAGCCTGCTCAGACACACCAACGTCGAGAACACGAACGCTGCTGCGAGGCCGAGCTCGAATGGATACTGTGAAAAGGGGAAAAAATAATTAAATACATCATTAAACCAAGCAGCTGGGCTGACACAAGCATCTTGTGCTGGGAAGGGGCTCCTGAGCTGTGCTTTCCCCAGGAGATGAATGTGACCTGAGACAAGGTCCCCTCAACCAACACTCAACCCTGCCAGAAGGTCATTTCATCCTCTGCAAGGTCTTGTCTCTCTGTGGAGACATCTGGGTAATAAATGGTATTTGCAGAATTGTTCTCTACAATAGCTATCTGCAAAACCCATGTTATTATTAAAGAGCTTAAGGAAAAAGGCATGTTGTACAAGGCATGGCTGAGGTAGCACTGCAGTCTGAGCCCAGCCAAGGGGACTGTGACAGCTGCAGAGTGTGACCAGAAGTGTGATCAATAGTCCTCGAGCAGTGGGCTGAGTGGGGAGAATCAATGTCTGGGCTGAAACCACAATCCAGCTATTAAAGCAGTCAGGACCACTCTTCCCCATGACACTTAAAGGTTTAATCATCTTCTTATGAAGCTGGTTTTGCCTAATACCCTCTCTGAGTAGTCTAAAAACATAGAAAGAACCATTTAAATAAATCAACATTAAAAAATTTTAAAAGTCACATTTGGTAAAGAATAAGCTTAACATATTAGCCCTTAATCCAATCATTCAAACCATGAAACTGAGTGGGCTGCTGGCTCCTTTCAGTCCATAAGGGAGATTTTTCTGTAAAGAGTAAATCAACTCAAAATATAAATAAAGGCAATTAATTCATCGAATTTGACACAAGGTCTCTATCTTCTGCCTGAGGCTCATGACTGACCAGGGTGGCCACAGGTCAGCACAAAAATGCCTCTGTGGAAATTCTAAGCATAACAGCTCTCTTCTGACCCTTTCCCCTGGCATATTCCAGCCTGTTGAATAAAGAGCTCAGACCCAGCTGAAGATGTCACTCCCAGTTCATAAAACACAAACTTTCCTCATTTCTCTGAGCCTTTGGAACATTTGCACCCACTTGACTCCTCCCTCAGCAGGCAGCCTTCGAGCTAGTCCAGATCAGTAATTGATGATTAGGGCATCTTGAGAAGATAGCAGCATAATGTACTGGGAGATTTTTCCATCTTAATAGAGGCAATTAAACCATTTAATTATTTGACAGCAGCTTTATAGTTTCAAGGCAGTTTCCAAGAAGCACAAGACAGCCTGTGAAGAGCTGCATGTCCCTCTGGTCACTTGTGGATTGAGGAGAAGGTGATGCTGACCAGGTCATCTTGGCAGCCCTGACACATGGGATGGAGCTGGCTTCCAAATATATGACAATATTATTATATGACAAATATTCCCTCTTATGGCTCCTTGTCCCCATGTCACTGTCAAGCTGCCCTGACCAGTTACCACACATGGGTTTATCCCTTGAGAGGGCTGAGAAACATTCTTAAATACAATGCAGCCAGGAAGTTATTATTGCTATAGTACAGGAAACACAGGCTTGGATTCATTAAATGGAATGAAAATAATCAGCATGGAGAAATGAGTTTCCAGGAAATAAACATTTTAGGAAGATGATGAGGAAAAATGATGAGACTTCCCGAAGCAGTCTGCAGCTCCTACAGTGCTGTGAAGTTGCTGTTACTCCTCTGACAAGCAGGCTTCCCAATCATGTTGTGTGCTGTTAGTCTAACACAGGCTGGAGCCAGGGGATTTCCAGGAATGCTTTTCCTTTCATACAGAAACCATGTGACACAGAGCTCCTTTGGTTTCCCTGGGAGCCAGCATGTCCCAGTGTGCAGCACTGACTTGGTGGGCATGGGGTGAGCACAAAGTGCTGGCTCCCAGACACCTTCCCTGCATGGCCACCCCACATGCAAAAACACAGTGACCCCAACAAACTACAGCAGGGCAGTGCAGCCTGCCAGCAGCTCTGAGAGGAATCCATGCATAAAAAAGGACATTTCCACTAAATTTCTTTTTGTGTCTATTATTAACCAGCTACAGGTAAGCACAGGGAAGAATACACACGTGTAAAAATAAATAAAGAACTCCTCTGGAAGTAGCAACATCTTTGGATTTGCAGGCTTTATATGGCTTGCTGGAAGCAGACACAGGCTTTTCTTTTTTTAATGTATTTTCTTTTTCTCCTTCTGTTTTCTTTTTGTAGCCCTACCTTGTACTGGTTCATGGTTGCAATGAAAAAGGAGAAGGAGATGGCTGTAGCTGCCATGGCGTGGGTGGATGGCATCCCATACTCTGCATTCGTCCTCATCTCCAGCTTCACAACAGGTGGTGACAGGGGCCGAGGCCACTTCAGGATGTCCTTGGAGACCTGGCCTATGTACATCACTATCTGGGGACAGGAAAGGCCACAGGCTGTCAGTCAGCACAGGCAATCCCCATGCAGCCCACCCAAGAACCACCTGTATTTCTGTGCTTTTTCCTGCAGAATCCAACCCTCCAAGCGGAGAATTTATCCCCTGAATTATTAAAGGGGTTTCCATTAGCTCAGCCAGTGAAGGAAGTGGTGGTTTTGCTGCACTCTGTGGTAACCTGAGCAGAAGTGGGACCAGAAGGAGGGTTGGCTGATGAGATTCAGCAGTACAGGACAGTGTGAGACAGACAGCTGGCTCCCACCCTGTGCCAGAGAAGTTTATGTTTCCTCCCTATCCCTTACAACCCCTCTCCTGCAAAGAAAGCAGCCATAAGAGAAATTTTTCCACCTCATCTTCAAATCACAGCTGTGTCCAGCAGCAGCTCCCCCATTCCCTGCAGCTCCCACTCACCCAGAGCTGCAGGAGCTCTGCACAGCACCCCTGTGGTTATTAAATGACAGCCTCAGCATCCTCGCAGAGGCAGCAGAGGGAAAACTGGACAGGCAACATGAGCTACCAGTTCTCCTGCCTATCTCCCCAGTAAAAGGCTTCTATTCCCTGCTTGGGACACCAGAGGTTTAAGCAAGGGCTGCATTAATTCACTCTGGAGCACAGCAACACAGTACTTTTAGAGGAAATGTCACATTCTCACATCAACAAGGAAAGCAGAGGTAAGGGGCAGTGCTGTCCAGTATCCCTGAGAGGTGCTGCCCATCCAGCCATGGGCATCCTGGCTCCCTAGCACCCTCTTCCCAAAGGCAGTAGGCTCTCAGCATCCACAGTGAGGACATCTGAGAAAAGTTAACCAGGCTGTCCCTGTAGGATGTATTTGCTTTCTGTTGTAGCCCTCCTCCCTTTACAAAATGTAGCCACACATAGGCAGAGGAGGCTTTTTAAAACAAAGCCAAGCAAACCTTTTTTCTTTTTTTTTTTTTCTTAGTACAAAAATCAGGCTAACTGATGTCTGCCATGAAAGCTCAGTTGCTGTGTGAGACAGCTCACTCTTCTGCTTCTCATGCTTCCACCAGCAAAGGAGGGGGCTTAAAATAACATCCTTCCCTTGCTACTGGTGTTGGCCATATGCTGGAACAGCAACACAATCACCCACTGCCACATTTGTCACCAGGCACACTGCATCCCTCTCTCTCCCATCAGTCACTTAAAAAATGGTTTCACATGAGAAGAAAGATGGCAGGATTCGTGATTCACAAGTCAGAACCAGGAAAAAGCCAGTCATGCCTTCATCCTTCTCTCTACAGCACAGCACATGCCAGAGAGTGCTAGATTACAGCCAGCACCAGGGCCTGGAAAAGTGACTGCTGGTGCCTTTGCATCCTTTATCCCTCATCATGTGAATCACATTACTGCCTCATTATCAGCAGCAGGTGGACACACCTGGCTGCTCCTATGGACACACACAGCTCAGGGAAGGCAGTGAATACCCTGCCCCACACTGTGCACAGTAAACAAAGGCTCAAGGAACAAATATCTTTTAAAAACCTTCTGTGTGGGTTTATTTAGTTAATGCCTTCAGTTTCCAAATGGATGCAGGCACATGTTTGGAAGTTAATTAAATTCCAAGGTTGAAAGAAAAATTGCTCTCTCGGGCAGAACATAAAACATTGAGGCTGCCGTTTGTGATACCATCTGAGAGGCAAGGTAGGATGAGCCAGTTTATCAGCAGTCCTCTATAATAATGACTTCCACTTGTGGAAGTATTATTAGCACTAGAACATAAGAGCATTGCAGAAAAGGAAATGAGTCATCTCAAAAATGAAGGCTATGCTAGGACTCCTGTGATGGTGAAAAACAGACTGAATGCTGGAGGTGGGATGGGTAAGTGAAAATACCAGGCATCCTCACAACACCCTCCCCTTCCTGGCATCCCAGATTGAATTCTGACCCTTCTACTTTTTAGAAACAAATTGTACAGGCGGTAAGGAGAGGTGAGACGACTTTCATAAAACATGCAGGGGACTCCAGAATATGCCCAGACTAAGCACTGATCTCTGAAGCACCAGACCTTTGCCTTTAGCTTATTTGGGTACTGTGCATGTGACTTTACACACATTATCGTGAATTATGGCACTTGTGGGTGGGGTAAAACACCCCCCAGCAGCTGAACTGGCAGGCTGCCCAAGAGAGTGAACAGCAGGTGCACATTGCTAAAGGCCACCCTGCACAGGTGGGGCTGTGTCACCTGCACCCCATGGCTGCAGGGGCTGGGGGAGCACAGCTCTGCCCAGGCTCTGCCCAGGCTGCAGGGGCTGGGGGAGCACAGCTCTGCCCAGGCTCTTTGCTCACAGCATGGCAAAGCAAACAGAGCTCCTGGCAGAGCTGCCTGCCCCGGGCAGTGGGTGCCCTCCCTGGGGACAGCCCCATGCAGGAGTGGCACCCAGTGGGCAGTGCCCACCCCTGCCCTTCTCTCATGCACATCCATGTTTTCCAAATGCAGTGAAAATGGCTCTGAACTCTACCGGGTTAAATCCTTGCAACAAATTTAAGCAGCAATAAAAGCAAGCAAACAACCAAAAAAAATATCCCAAAACTGTTAGCAACTTAAACCCAAGACCTTGCTCAAACTCTGCTGCCTACCACTACAGATGGGCTGGCCTGTGCTAAGGGCAATAGCAGCCCTTTACAGTAAGCCAGGTGAAGGAAAGGCAAGGCTTTATTGCCACTTTGGGTGAACAGCATTACATTTTACTACACAAAGGCAATTGGCAGTTGCTATAGCAGCAAGACAGCCTCTGTAGTCTTTTTCTGAGAGCTTCCTCTTAATTTGCTCTGAGTCATATATATGGTCTATCTCCAAAAATACTTCTTCACCTGAGCCTTTGCATCAAGATAAACAAGACAAACCTCTCTTTGTATTTTAACAGATTTTGCTTTAGTGAACAGCTGCAAAACCAAATTCGAGGCATTAGCATCCACACAGGTGTGAATACCTATTCATTTGTTCCAACATCTGCAGGAGATCCCTCTGGGGTGAGGGGCTGCTCCCCTCCTTCTGAGCATCTGAGTGCCATCAAATGACCTGTTTCCCTGACATTCCCATGCCTCTGGTGTGTAAGTCAACCATCTAAGAGGGGGTTTTTTCTCACCTGCAGGTGTTGTCTGGCATTTGCAATGGTTTCCCCTCACTCCTCACATGCATCACTCCCATGACAGGAAGCAAGAGCTCTGGAAGCAGATTTACACCACAGTGCAGACAGACACAACTAAGCCCTGTGCAGAGGTGTGGCAGCAGTGCCACAGAATGCAATTTCCCCTCTGGAAAGTTCCTATGGCAGCTGCCCAGACCCTGAGCCTGGCAGGATTGAGGAAACAAGCTCAGTGCTGCAGGTGGGCTGTGTGTGACATCCTCCTTCATCCCTGCCCTGCTACAACCCCTGCACAGGATGGACACACCTGAGCCTCCCACTGGCATATGAAGGTCAGGAGGAGCAATTCTTTTTTTAATTCTGTAATATTTCAGCTAACAGAGGGGAATCAGATCATATTTGTTTTCAGCTTCTGATTTTGCAGCTGTCCTTATCTTCATTATTGATCTGTTAAAAGGACAAGACAAAATTCTAGAGAAGACACGTGGTCAAATAGCATTGGCAGTTTCTGAGACTCACAGTGTGGCAGCCTGACTTTGAATCTGCTGGTTTAGCTCCAAAATAGAAACTCTATAACCTGGCTCTAGAAACCCTGATCTGCAGTGGTATATGTCATCTTCCCAGAAAGGAAATTTACAGCTTGAAAATGATGTTACTTTGGGGTTCTTTCACAAGCACTGTGCACTGATAGGAGTGACCAAGCATATTGAAGAAAGAAAAGAAGGATGCACTATTAATAAACATTTGCAGATTAGTCAAGCAGCAGTAAAGACTGTATGTGGTTGCTGAGGTAGGCGTGACTTTGGTTTCTCATACAGAAATTAAGCCAAGCACCCAGCCTGCACTGTCCCATGACCAGATAAACACTGTAGCAGATTCTAGCTGTGACTGTGTCCCTCAAGCATCACTTGGTTCAGAGAGAGGAAGAGGAGCAGGGCAAGGAAAAGCTTGTCCTTGTGGAGGTACTCCTCCTACCCCAGTCAATGCCAAGAGCTAAGGCTTGGCCCCAGGAAAGCACACCATGGAAGTCACTGAGCAGCACTGCTGGCCCCTTGCCCTGGCAGCAGCCCAGCTGCAAGAAGCCCTGCAGGGCAGAGGAGCCCCAGACAGCACCAGCCTGGGGCCCTAAGCCCCCCTCAGATTGTGTCCTGCTCCCAGCCCCTCCTTGGCTGCTCCCCATGGGCCAACCCCAGCAGCAGGGCTGGGACCCTCCTCGAGGCACACACACCTTGGGAGAGGGCAGCTGGCTCTCCTAGAGCCCCACACACCTTGGGAGAGGGCAGCTGGCTCTCCTAGAGCCCCACACACCTTGGGAGAAGGCAGCTGGCTCTCCTAGAGCCCCACACACCTTGGCAGAGGGCAGCTGGCTCTCCTAGAGCTCCACACACCTTGGGAGAGGGCAGCTGGCTCTCCTAGAGCCCCACACACCTTGGCAGAGGGCAGCTGGCTCTCCTAGAGCTCCACACACCTTGGGAGAAGGCAGCTGGCTCTCCTAGAGCCCCACACACCTTGGGAGAGGGCAGCTGGCTCTCCTAGAGCCCCACACACCTTGGGAGAGGGCAGCTGGCTCTCCTAGAGCTCCAGCACCTGCCATTTCCAGTGTGGGTATTGCTTCCCAGAAAATACATCAACCTTGTGCTGGCTGCACAGGAACTTTGCACGTTTCCAAGGGTTTGGCCAGGGTCCATGGGACACTCAAGGTCACATTCAGCTGGTGGGATGCTCAAACCCTTGGGCTGTCCCAGCCACCATGGGAACAGCAAATCCAACAGGCAGGTCTCCAGCTCCCCAAGGAGCACAGCATTCACAGCACAGGGCAGCAGGAGGCAGGGGGCAGGGAAGATACAGCATGGGCAGCTTCCAAAAAATTTATATATATCTATATATATAAAAGGAAAGAGGACTTTGTCTCAATTCAGGCTTCAGAAACACAAAACCAGAACCAGATCAGTAGAACCTCAAGCCTCCAGAAGCACAACCAGCCAACACTTAACACATTCACTCTGTCTTTAAAAGAAACTTTTAGACAAAATCTATAAGGTAGTTGACTATCTCATAATGGGCTTAGAGAAGGCAATTTAGGTCCAGGCTCCTGGCAGCAGGGAAAAGTACTGTCACATTGATCTGGTTTGTCATCTAACATCTAAAACTGTAAATTGTTACACCTAGAAGTTCTATTGAAATACAAAAGGTTTCCAGTTGAAACTTCACCTTAAATGATTCAGAGCTTGTCTCAGTTATGAAAGCCTTATTGGCACTTTTTCTTCAAGGGTGGAGTACAGCTGCCAGCTCTTGCAAAATTCCCTTTCAATCAACACTTTATCAACTTGCACACACCATTTATTTTTGTATGCTGACATGTAGTTACTCATGTGCCTGAATACAATTTTACATGTTCTTGTGCAGTGCAATATTTGGAGCTTGGCTTTCAAGTGACTGTGTTTGTCAGCAGCTCCAGGCTTGTTTCAGTCAAGTGTTGCAAAGGCACTAAAACTAACAAACATAAGCATTGTTAAACCCAAAGTTTGCTTCCAAGGGTGTTTTCAATCACTGCACAGCAATATCAGTGGCATCACAATTGCAGGTGAGCTCCTGCTGGTTAGGAAACTCCTGCTTACCCTGAGAGGGAGTTCGGGGCTGATCATTGCTGAGTAACTAAGTGCTGACACTTTCAGCTTTAGAAAACTGTTCCTCTGAAAAGCAAGATGGAAAGCTAAACTCCTATGGACTCAGGTCCAGGGCCTTCTCAGATTGCTGCAGATGTCCCCACCCAGTGCTGCTCAGGGAGCCCCGAGGGGCACACACAGCCTGGCATCACCAGACACCCAAACTCTGCCTCCCTTCAGAGGTGCCACCTACCCCTGAGTCAGCACTTATCACTGTCACATGCCAAAGGCTCCCACACCTGCCCCAACAAAGTCCTTGCTGGCCAGCTCATATTTACATTGCATAAATTAAAGTTTTATAGGCTATGAAGAGGTGTGGCCTGAGGAAAAAAACACAGAAAAGGAGATTTCCAGGCATGCTGAATAGCAAACTGAAACAGTAAGTATTTTTTCCAGGTCTCTGCCCTTGAAATTCCACACCAAAATAAAGATTTCAAACTTGAAGCAGTACAAAAAGTAAAAAACAAACAAACAGAAATAAAGTGAGCTTTCACCTCTTGAGCTGAGATGTGCAGTAAATTTAAAGTACGTTTGGGGACTGTGTGAAGCTGTTTCTCATCTCTGCACTTCCTGGCTGAAATTGCAAGAGTCACAGGCATCAAAGCCTTGCCTGTGCAGTTTCAAGAGTGTTTACTTCAAATTGCTGGAGAAGAGAAGCAAAGACACCAGGGGACCTTCATTACTGACTCAGCACCTTTCTCAGAGGTTTCATGCAGTTATTTCCTCCATCTGTTCACAAAGGTAAAGCTAAAGCCTGCATATGTACCCTGAATCCTCAGAGGCAAGGCCCATGGAAGCACAACATGCTGCTTTAGGCTGCCAAAGCATCTGGATGCAAAACCAGTCAGCATTTCCCACAGCCATCCACCTGAACAGAAAAGCACAAGCAGCTGGCTCTGGGGACCCAGGGCTGGAGAAGACATTCCAGGGTTCCAAGTCCACTCCCCTGCTGCTGCTGAAATAAACTTTATAATTTTTCTCTCTGCCCTTCACCCTTCTAGAGCTATTTCACAACCTTTGGCTTCAACTGAAATTATTCATGACTGCCTTATGCATGTTTCTTCTTGTGACTGTAGTTTTATTTTAAGAAGCTCCTTCCTTCCCATGGTTTTTGCAGCCAGCCCCATTCTCTCTCCAGCTTCATTTTGCTAGGGATTTATCTAAGCTTTCAGTCTCTGCTCAGAAAATAGTGTGTTCTTTAATCATTCCTGGCCGTGCTCCAATTTGAAATTATCTTTCTCAAAAGGGGGTGACTGGCTCTGCATAAACTATTACAGATAAGATGGCAGGAAGTCTTTGTAAACACCATTAATGCTGCTTTAATTTTTAAGGGAAGAAACTCCCATGATTCATCCTGACCAACATTGTCATTTCTCACTTGCAGCAGAAACTTAACAGGTTTAAGTGGGAAACAGCACAAAAAGTACCACCCTCAGCACCCTCATTCTCCAGAGCCACTTCTCCTGGCCAGTGGTGTCACCCTCCATGTCACCATCATCCCTGCCAAACATGTTCCCAGCATATCCATGTGCTTTGTCCCAGGTTCTTGAAAAAGTCATTGCTGGTCCACTCTCTCTCCCTGCTGAGGAGCTTCACTAACAACCTCTCCTCATCCTGAGCACCTCTTTAAAGGGGAACTGCTCCTGCCTTTCCCTTGGGGCTCTCCTTTGATACCAGCCCCTTTCCCCAGATGGACAAGAGCCTTCTGCAGGACATGCCTGGGTCCTGCAGTTATCCCTTCATGCTCTTCCCAGCCCTCCACTCACAGCTCTTGTCTGACACTATCAGGCTGCCTGGATTTTTACTGTCATCTAACACAGTTCTTAGCCACACATCATCATCATGCATTCAGAAGCATTTCTTCAAAATTCCATCACCAAAAACCTCCAATTCAGTTAAAAGCCCAGCTCTGTGCCACTGACACCTTGGTGTTTCCCTTGCAGCTGAGACAAATGTCACATCCATGACCAAGGCATCTGAGGCCAGGCTGGACAGGGCTTGGAGCAGCCTGGTCTGGTGGAAGGTGCCACTGCCCACAGCAGGAGGGATGGAAACAGGAGATTTTTAAGGTGCCTTCCAAGCCAAGCCATTGTATGATTTTATGACTGTTAGACCAGCAGCAGCAGCACTGTGAGTGCCACTCCCTGCTCACCTGCAGAGACCCTCCCAGCTGAACATGCCACAGCATTAACACATGGCCTGCAAGGACATTTTTAGCCATTTCACTGTTACATACAATTCATGTTTTAAAAATACAGATTGTTGCAAGATGCATTTAAAACAGTTTCCCCTTTTCAGTATAAAGTGCAGCTCCACAACTCAGGAAGTGAAAAATAATAATAATTATCATAATATCAGATGCTTGAATACTCTAATAAAGTCAGACTAGATCTGGCTAATACTCAGATGAACTCCTTTCAAGGAAAAACAAAGCAAATCTACAGAAATGCATGTAAAGAGCTCCAAAGGCTCATTTTTTGAGCAATATGCAAATCCAGAAGGCAGTGAATACCAATTTTCATCTTCTGTGGCACGTTTCCAGAAGCTGTAGGTGTACTCCTGGCCAAAACCCAGCTCTAGTTATACTGTGTCCACCTACTTCTAAATTTCATCTGCAAGTTATTTTTCATGTTCTCTTTATAAAATGTACTGACTAAAGTTATTGGCACAAAGCAACTGATGTATTCTGTCCAAGACCAGGTGTATTTGAAGTGTATGACTCAATTCAAGTTTTTTTTATTATTTCTTATCATATTATTTGGTCAAAAGACAAAATATTATTAACCAGAATTGACTGGATCATGGATAAGCTTTACTGTAAATAGATAAACTTGGATATCATATTTAAGTTTTTACCAAGATTCAGTTTCTTAAATCCGTGTAGATTGATAGTAAAACCTCCAGGCTCTGGCACCTAGCAGAGGTGCTCCCTACCTCCTTTCTCTGTTCTAAAATGGTTTTATTTGGGCAGCAATATCTGATCAATACCAAGATGAGCAATGGCAGTGACAAAACAGCTAGTCCTGGCCTGAAGTGCCTGGTTATCTCCTGTTTTTTCAGTGCTACAATGGAAATGCATTATTCTGGATACCCCAAACCCATGCTGAAGCAATGCTGAAGTCAGTTAAATTGTGAATGCTCTCTATTAATAAAAATCAATGCTTTCAAGTCTTAGCCTTCAACAGACCATCTGATCTTTCCCCCCTCAAGTGACTGCAGAAACACCCTGCTTATTCCACTGCAGCCTGCACATCTCTTTACTATCAGGTTTATAGTAACTTCAACCAAGCCAGAACCATATGAAATTACACAGGAAAAATGAGAATAAGAGAAAGATTTCCTAAAGTGATGAAAAGCAATCCTTGAAATACTATGATGCACTGGGAAGTGTTTTCCCAACTATTCTGTGCAACCTATATCAAAAGCAGCTCAGTCAGTGATTGTGCTGAAAAAAAAAAGTCAGCCCAAGATGTGGCAGAGATGAAGAAACCCTGAGTCAGATGATGCCTCTCGCCTCCTCTCTCAGTATTGCAATGGTTTTTCCTCCTAAACATGAGCTGCACATGAATAGTGTTGGTGCTTCTTTGGTTTGAAGGGATTTTGTTCATTTGAAGGGTTGTTCTTGTTCTTAAATATTAAATTGCTATGGATACAGAATTAAAGTTGAAATTAATCATAGAAATACTTACAGACCAAACAATTATCATTCTTCTAGACACAGAGTGATCTATATTCCAGTAGGTAAATGGAAGGAAAGTGATATAAAAAATCTCTTCACCCAAAGCAGCTGAAAACTTGAACAAGTAGTAGTAGAAGTAGTTCTTCACAATATACTTCTGTGTGCAACCCTGGAAATGAGAGAATGTTATTGTTTTAGTGAAGTAGAAAAACATAACAAACATTTGAAATATTATAACTGCTACAGTTTCCAGTCCTTAAACCAAACAGTTTGTTATAAGAAGTGTCAAGAAATGAAGTTCAGCTTTTGTACTAGAATGAAGACTGTAGAGATAGCACAGCTACATTTCCTGCAGAGCAGAAATCCATTCAGACTAACTAAGGCAGCAGTCACGTGGACAAAGACTTTCAAGAGAAGGGATCAGCCTTTCCTCCAGGGTAATCAGGTGTATTTCATAAAAGGTACTGACATGCTAAGTTTGAAATTTCTACATCAGTAGACAAAGTCACCGCTGCTTTCACTGGAAATGCATTTTGAGGTGAAAAACTTAAAATGCAATTACCAAACTACTTCCTTTAAAAATTGCCTCATTATAGTCCCTGAAATTTGCTGCCAGGTGCTGCTGACAACAGCCCTCAACACTGATTTTTCCCAGGTGCCTCCAGCCCTGTGCAGGATCTCACAGGATCACCCCACGCTGAGGTGCCACAGCTGGAAGATTCAGCTCCTGCCTGGGACTGGGCTCAGCAAGCACAGCTGCAGAGCAGGGCCAGGGCAACAAAGGGCTCTGAGTGGGCAGAGAGAAGAGCTGCACCTGTCACCAGCAGATTTTCACTCCAACATTTTAAGTAACAACCACAAGGTTGTCTTTTCCAGCATTACCAGTAGATACATTGCAAACAGCAACACTTTAGCGCTTCATTTATTCATTTTACTCTGCATGAAATTTCATTTGGTGTCTGGATTTGGTAGCTAGATTATTTCATTAGATGTACCCCACCTAACATGTTTCTCTCTTCCAAAAGGTGACACCCAGCCTCCAGAGCTGGGAAGCCACACAACAGCATACATTGCTTAGGCCATGACTTTGGCCACTCGTTGAATGTGTCCAGAAAAGGTTTGCTGCTGCTGCTGCTGCTGCCATTTGGGACTAGGACACCACAAAGAAGCCTCACACTCTTAGCAGGAGCAACAGGCAAATGAATCACATTTTGTAGGTACACCTGTCACTTCAGGAAATAAGGAGATAGACAGATAGACAAATAGGAGCTTTGATTCAGGAGAGGAGCTAAGGAGCCAATCTAGTCTCACTCCATCCTCCCCAAAACATTAAAAATATGCACGTTGGCTGTGTAAATACAAGACAAAAGAACTTCCTAAAGATGGGAACTGAGAAGGCACCATGAAGGTCTCAGCACAGACACACTAAGTTAAGAGAGCTTTGACTCACCAAATAGGAAAACTTATGCTTGGAGCTGGCTGTGTAACTAGTTTACTAAAGAGAAACTCTCACCCTATATGCAAGTGAGAAAACATAAAAATTGTCTAAGGAGTCTGGACATGCACTTGTGACTCACTGCAAAAGCCATTAGAAGCTCCAGTCTCTCCATCTGCTTTTAATGCAGAGATGAGGCAAACTGCATGGAGATGACAAAAGCAAGATGGAAAGAACTTGCATCCATTCAAGTACCATAAAAACCCCACAACTTAAATTGATTTTTGCACCAATGAACAGAAAAGATGAGTCAACATTTTTGGAAGTGCCAGGATCAGAGGAGTGTTCCACCATCTCTCAGTCACAGAGGCCACAGATGAGTTACTGGCATCACTTCAGGGTAACAGCCCTGTGCTGTGTCTGGCTGTGTGACAGAGCAATCAGTCTAAGTGTCTCAAGTCTCATCTGCCACTTAGAAAACACCCCCAGTGCAATCAGCAGCTCTAATGCTTCTGTCTGAGATCCTGGAACTGAATTTGGTGACACTTAACCTGGCCCCACAGAAAGCCCTCTGCTGGCACCACTAACTCCTCACTAAAGCATTAATCTCCAAGGTATTGGGAATTATGTGTGCTTTAGCTCTGAGAGGATCAGACACATCCCTAAGGTAATGCTTTTATACTTGCAACCTCATGGGATGAAGGATAAAGCCTTCTAATTCCAGTAACTGTTTTGTGGGGGAAAGTATATTTATCAGGTTCTAAAAGAAATGTGGAGCTAAAAAAATATTTCCAGGTCCAAGTCATTCCACATGATTCCATTCCAATTCTTAAAACCTTTTTTTTCTTTTCCTTCCATTCCTTTTCTATCAGAAATCACACACACATTTGGTTGGATTTTTAGCACCTCTTTTTTTTTTAACTCCACACCAGCACTTGTGACAGCCAATGTGTGGCAGGGGACAAACAGAGCCTGCCACAGCCACATGTCAGGCACTCAGAATGCCACAGAATTGCTCCACTTGGTGCTTGGCAGTGCATGGTAATAAAGTGATGTTTGCATTTGTTGTGATCCCAAAGCACTGTAGGTACAGTGAGCCTCCTCCATGCACCTTCAGACTGCAGTTAGCTCACATTTTCCATCTACACACACTGTTTCTGCAGAAAGCAGAGTGCAGTGCTTTGTGGAGTGCCTTCCCAGTGCAGAAAAATCCATTATTTGTGTTAACATCTCCTAACATTCCCAGAAATTTATTCAATCTCTAATTTTCAGTAACTCCTATCTTTAGACTTGGTTTTTCTTAATGTACTGCAGTGACCTGATGCCTTCCACAGTGCCTGAAGCCCTTTCAGCAAATCATTCTTCCATCCATCTCCATTGCTACTCAGTCTGGATCAGAGAGGTCTTAATGGGCAGCAATTAAAGCTGTAGATAAAGTCAGAATTTTTAGAGCATTTCCAAAGCAAGATGTAATAAGCCTCAACATTCACAGCCACAGAAACAGGTAATTTCACAAAAATGACCCTTCTCACCAACTGCAGAATGTCTGTTTTGGAAAACCTCGAGTGCTCAGGCTACAAGAAACTCTCATGGATGTATGAGTCTCATAAATAAACTACCCAGCTATTGGCACAGAAATGGCTCTTGCAGGTCATCCCACATTTGCATTCTCAGCACAGGGGTGGGTACCCACAGCAGGAGCTGCCACAGCACCCTGGAGCAGGGGAGCATCCCCAAACATTCCCCCAGGGCCAGCAGAGCAGGGCAAACCAACACCCTGGTGGCTCTGAGGATACAGTAGCACACAATGACACAGCATAGGAGGAATCCATCCTTTTAGAAATCATGTATAGATGTAGTGTTTAGCCTTCAAAGCTGAAGCAAAGGAACAGCAGCTGAGCCACTAAGATAATAAATGCAAAAATGTATTTTTGTACATTCCCAAAAATGTATTTTTTGGGGAAAAAAAAAGTAACTGTGCAAAGATAGTATTCCTTGCAATTCCTCTGGGAGATTTCTTGTCAGAGAGCAAAACAGGCCCCAGCTTTTCCTGCCCTGTCTCTAGAGACAAGCTGTGCAGCATCAGACTTCTAAGGCTCAGAGTGTGACCCAGAGATCCCATTAACCAACACTCTGTTCTCAGCTCTCAATTACTGTGGATCTTTCAGAAGATGTACATGTTTAATTGAAGTTCTTGAAGTCCCTTACTCCCCTTCCAACAGAATTGCCTTGCAAAAGATTAGGAGTTTCCCTCCCAAAGTCCCTAATTAACACATTACATACTTTTCACTTTAAGGTTTTTTAATTCACTAAGAAAAAGGGTTCTAAATTTAGAGAAGACACCAAAATTCAGGCACAAAAGAAAAAAAACCCAAAAATTCCAGTCTAGATGCTGCTGTACACAGAGACAATGTAAATCAGACAAATCAGCTCCACAGGGCTGTACTGTTTAGAGTAAAACCAGTGGGAAAAGCCTTCTGTACTGGAATATTCTGCATAAGCAGACAGTTTTACATCACTTTATGTTTATTAACTGTGCAAGTTAAAAAAGTAACCTATCAAGTCACAACAACAACAAAAAATTAGATAGCGGTAATCAGATTTTGGAAAATAAAAAAAAGCAAAACCCATGATTATCAAAAGCTTCAGCTCTTCCATCCAACAGCACAGCTGCAGTCAAACACATTGAGTTTTCTGAAGATCCAACAAGCAGCCAGAGGCAGCACCAACCCTGCAACCCATTGCTCCAGGAGGAAGGAAGGGGTGGCCAGGGACAGGGCTGTGCCCCAGTGGAGATCCTGGTGTGGCCATGAGCCCCTGGCTGGGTGCACAGCACCCATGGTAGGGTGAGGGAGCCAGCAAAGGAGCAGCAGAGTCATGGGAGGAACTGCAGGGATGTCAGGAGACACCAGGAGCAGGACAACAGCACACAGAGCCCACAAAGGACACACAAGGAGCCCCAAGGCATCAAAAATACACCTAACCAAACTCATACATATGTGCTGCTTCCCACTCTGTTTAAATGCTTTAAAACAAGGAATTAATTTTTTAGTCATGAAGCAGCCAGTTTTCAATAGCTGTCCGGGTTTACAGGGTATTGTTGTTGGAGGGACACCTAGAGCCAACCAAAACCTCAGAAATGTGGGGATGAAGACAAACAGAAATCACAAGAAAATCCTCCTTAAATGCCATAAAATCTTGTCCAGCTCTGCAGTTGCAGCAGGTCCTTGTTGAGCAGCACACAGAGGACACATCCAGCTCGCAGCTGTTGTGCAAGCAAAGGCAGCAGCAGGCACTCCTGGCCTAATGAGCAGGGATGTGGCCTGCAACCATCAGCTGATGCAGAAACAAGACAACCATTGCATGAGACATAACAAGGCTCAACCTTCCAGCCAGAGAGTCACAGCACTTTCAGTGGTCTCAGCTAAAGAACCAGTGGGCAGCCTAAAAATCAGGCAGAATGCTGGGAGCATTTCAGCAATTTCTTAACTCATTCCAAAAGGCATTAGATAAAATCCTCAGCAAGGTACAATAGCAGAGCAGTGCTGCATGCTGCACAGCCAGCAGCACCAGGGAGGGCTGGAAGCAGTCAGGCTGAAAGGGGCTGTGGTTTGCCAGACCAAAGGCTGGGACCACCCAGTCACTGGGAAAGGTACATGAAAGTCTCTCACCAACACTGCCCCCCTGGGCACAATGCCCATCCCATCACCACACATCAGTGTGTTCATCCAAAG